TTTCTTCACAGGTTTCTGCTATATATATATATATATATATATATATATTCCTAAGTCACTTTATATCCTAATTTATCTTCACCCTCTAACCTTCTCCATGCCAAGTCTCCACAGAGAGCTAACAACAGAGGAGACCAAACTCGAAACTGGCCTCAAAACGGCCCTGTTTGGAAAGGGCAGCCTGAGCCAATCCTGAGCTTTATTAATCAAATGTAATCTATGCTACCTGCCCCTTCCTGTTCCACGGGGATGGAAGAAAGCCTCACTCCTGGGCCTCACTCCCTGTCCCTCGAGGAGTCCCTGGTGGGGTCTTTGGCCCAGGGAGACAGGTTAGGGCCCTGCATCGGTTACTCTGTGACTTGTTCTCTGTAATCAGCAGGTTCCATTTTGATTCTCAAGTTGAAGCAGGAAAATGTGCTGATTGCTGATTACACAGACGCTGAATTTCCGCACCCCTGTCTTTGGGGTGTCCCACCAAGCCTGACGATTTTCCCTGGCAGGCGGCTGATGGGATGTGGTAGGTGGGAGGAAGTGACAAGTCCTATCTCCTGATGGTTTCCTTGTTCTCAGCGATCCTCCCTGTGTTCAGCCGATGCCTCCTCTGTGCAGCCCTTGTTTTCTGTTCCTGTCTTTTCTCTGTAGGACAGTGAAAAGGCTTTGGAGCCTGAGTCCAGCACTCCCAGCTCCTTATTTGCTGTGTGACTTTGGCAAGTCTCCTCAGTGACGTGGGGAACAATATGGTCCTTTTGGAGGCTCCTCATCTTCCTCTGAGAATTAAATGATAGCATTGTGCTGTTGGTTGAGACTTTGGACTCTACTAGGCTTATTTACTCCTTACAGCTGTCCTTTGAAGGAGGGATGACTACTACCTTCCTTTTATCAATGAGATAAAGAAGGGTCAGAGAGGCTGACTAACTTGCTCAAAGTCACATAGCCATTGAGCAGCGGAGTTGGGATTTGATCTCAGGCAGCCCAGCTCCAGAGCCTTCTTTCACTGGGGTTATGAATCTGACTCATTTCAAATCCTTGTTTCCTTGGCCTGCCCTGCTTAGGTCCCAGCCCAAGCCATCCACCCTGAGACAGAGTACTTGTCTCTGTCCCTCCCTTCCACTCACCATGAGGCTCCCTGAGGGTTGAGACTTACACCTGTGCTGCTTCTGTGTGACCCTGACATGGACAAAGATTACCCACGCAAACCATGGAGGGGACACCCTTGTCTTTTTCCTGTCTCTGCACATGTGACCTAAAGAGTTCTTCCCTGAAAACCCCAAGACCGGGATGCTTATCCCAGCTCTGTGACCTCCCACCTACATGGCCCTGGGTGGGTCATTTGGCTACTCTGGTCCTCAGTGTCCTTGTCTTTAAGATGGACAATCATTTAGCCAGTGTTTTTGGCATTCATTTTACTGAGCACATGCTTCCTGTGGCCCAGATATATTGGCTTCTGATGGGATTAAGGCAGAAATCCACATCTGTCTTCTGTGTCTTCCAAAGACACAGTGGCCATGTTTTCTGGAGGAATGTAGCCAGTTCCCAGTGACACCACTGTCCTGGACACTAGGACAGAGCCGAGTTCCATAAGCTTCTGGAATTTCCCATCCAGCCATCTGTTTTCCTAGGTGTGCATGTGAGCTGACACACTGGTGTTACAGGGTGCACACCCCCTTGCTGTCCCTACATGTCCTTTATTTCCTTTCATCCACACTGCCCTCCAGCCTGGACCCCTGCCTCAGATCGTCTCTCACCTTGTCAGTGCTGGGATGGGGATTTCACAGCTGGCAGCTTCAATCAGCTACTCTGCACCGCCAGTCCCTTCTCCCATGTCCCTCCAAGCCATCCTCCTCACCAGCTTGACTCTGCCCTTGGGCTTGCTCAGACCTTGCCTACTGCCTTTCTCTCTCACCCTTCAAAATTGTAAAAGACTCAGAATCTCTTGAAAGGCACAGACTCATAAAAATGAGATTAGACAAGCTGATCCACCAAGGAAGACTGAACATGTTCCTGTAATGAGGATCAGCTGTGGTCCTTGCTGACTACTTTGGGGAGTCCACACATAACCCCAGAAAGATCACTGCACTGAGAACCTGGAAGATAAGGGTTCAAATCCCAGCTCTTCTTCCTACTTGTCCTGAACAACCAGGCTGGCTTCAGTTTCCTCACCTAAAGAAAATCACAAAAGATCCCTCTCTGGGCCTGGGAGCTGTCTGTGGTCACAGACAGTGAATTCAGGGGGGAGCTGGGAGTTGCACCTGGATCTGATCCAAAATTGTATTTCCTCAGCCCCTCTCTCATCTTTAGGTATGTGTATGTTCCTTTCACTAACATTGCAAAATAAGCTTTACATAATGAGAACACATTAAAAGAAAAAACCCCACCCCGACCCCCACTCTATCCAATCCATAAATAATCTTAATTCTCCAAATGTTTTTCCGCATGCATGTGTTATTGGTGTAGATTTGGGGGTGATCTTCCTCGGTTCTATGCTTCACATTACTGCACGGAAGCCATCAGGGTTTTCAGTCCTCGTTTCCAATGTTAATGTCTGCCTGACACCATCAAAGTGACACACTGTGATTCCACTAACCATCCACAATGGCTGGATGACGAGGCAGCTTTCAGCTGTCCATGTCATTAGGAGCAGCATCCAAGCATCCTGGGGTGCATGGCTTTGCTTTGAGTTTTGATTTATTCCTGCCATAGGATTAATTTCCAAAGGGTGGGATTCTGAGTTTAGCCCAGGGTTTCAGGCTCAGCACTGTGAACACTGGGCTGGGTGACTCTGTGGTGGGCATTGTCTCGTGCATTGGAGGTTACTGGGAAGCATCCCCAGCCATCCACTGGATGCCCATAGGCTCCTCCAAGTTGTGACAATCCACACTGTCTTTAGATATTGCCACGTGTTCCTGGTGGCAGACAGAATCACCCTTCCTCAACAATCATGGCATTAGAGGGTGGAGGTATGAACAATGGGTTGTAAGTGGAAATCAAAGATTTTCCAGAGTCAGGACAAAATCTGATTAGGACTCTGTTAGAGAGTACTGAGCATGGAGCATGAGCACTGAGAGGAGAACCAGAGGCACAGAGCCCCGCTCCAGTACTGCTGTGCAGTCTTCACTCCTCAAAGTCTCAGTTCCTTACCTGTGGAAAGGGAGCAGCTGTCATGCATGACCCTCCAGGCCCTCAAGGAGTGGGTGACATTATGAATGCTCACCCTAGCGCTGGCCACAGGAAGTGCTCAGTGAGTGCCATTCAGTTTTTCTGCTCTGCAGGAAGCACTGTTGGCTTTTCCATCTTTGCCACTAATATCTTTGGGGACAAAAAAGTGGCAGTGCCTCGGTGGTGGAGGTAAAAGGGAACCATGCCTGCCTGTGCTCCTCACAGCCTCCTGCACCACATGCATCTTTAGGGCTCAGCTTCCCAAGGCAGCCTTTGGGGCCTTTCCTGGCTGGAAAGTTCACTCATCCATAAGAAATGAGCTGGGTACCACCCTCTGTGCATGTGTCACAGGAGTGATGCAAAGTCAGAGCTCAGCTCTGGGCTCAGGCATACGGGGGTCTTCACCCTCATCTGGATGAGGGAGTTGTGCCTGCCTAGACTGTGCTGAGGACCTTGCACATCCATTCCCGCCTCTGTATAACAGCGAGGATCTGTCTGAGCCTCCCATGAGCCCATCTGCAGTAAGAGCCAGGAGTACTTGTTCCATAATAGGTGCCCAGTGAACCCAGGCTCAGCCCAGAGCATCTCCTCCCCCAGAAGTCATGAGTGGGTGTGGTTCTCTGCCTAGGCCAATATGGGCTTGTGGTCTGTGTCTCCAGGAGAAGTATGTAGAGGAGCTCGGCGCAGTGAGGCAGACACTGCAGACAGACCTGGAGACATCCATCCGGCGCATTGCTGACCTGCAGGCTGCCTTGGAAGAGGTGGCGTCCAGTGACAGTGATACCGAAAGGTAACCTGAAAGTGACTAGGTGGGGCTGGACCCTGGAGAGGTCCACAGTGTGGGCTTCAGTGGGCCTAAGGGCATGTCTGCAGGGAATCCCAAAGGTATTTGGGAGTTGGCCATATAAGGGGATCCCTTGGATGGGTAGAGAGTATACTGCCCTACTGGAGTTGACATCTGTTACTGTTGGAACCAGCTGGGCTTGCTCACCAAGCCTTAGGTGAAGCACGCACAGCTGGAAAGTGAACTCCAGCATGGACAACTAGAAAAGCTGTATGTCCAGTCCAGGTCCAATTCCCTCATTTGTGAAGTAGACAAAATAGTATTAGGATGAACCACATGAAATTACCAAGAGGAGACCGTTTTTGACCTGCAGACCAGAGGTTTCATCTGCCCACCCACAGACTCATTAGAGTTCATCCACAACATCGCTGAGAGCAGTGCTGGGGTCTGTAAGTATAAGCTGCACTTGCCCAAAATAATGAGTGCTGTTTTATGAAGACAGTAGATGATTCAGAGATGCCAATCAATTCAAAGGGCTGGGGGTGACAAGGCTACCCAAGCTCAATGCTAGGACTACTCTTGCCTATCTCAAAAGATAAGCCACTTCCTGTCTTTTTTTAGCCTCAAGTTTCTACAGGCCATGTAGGGTAGAAGGCTGCTCAGCTAGAAGGAGCTTGAAGTGTCCCAGCTAGACACAGGGACCCAGGCTATCCTACCTCTCCAGATAGCCAGAGGATCTTCTTCCCAGGAACTGCCCTTAGAACCTCAGCTTATTGCTTCTCCTGGAACCACAGCTGCCAATTGGGCTGAAATTTTGCCCCAGACTGCATAGAACAGCCTGGGAAGCAGGGAAAGACATTTTCTTCGTGTAGCTTTGCAGCAGGGAATCTGCAGATGCAGTTCCCTCCCAACACCTGCACAGCCCTTCTAGTACCTAAGCAGGTTGCACTGGAAATCAGTGCTGTTTGGTCTTCCCTTCTGGGAAGGCTGGTTTGTCCTGCAGTCTGAGCAGTTAAATCTCCACCACTGGAGTACTTGCAACTCTCTGTTGCTAGGAGGACCTTGGCCTCAGAGAAGTTCACACACAGCAAATTAGTGTAGTATATGGAGTTAGAGCCCAGGTCTGCTGAGTTTTTTACAGACCTTTACCATCCATAGTCTTTTAAACAGGGATTCTCTCTCCCTTCTGAGAGAGTGAGATGGCTGCTCTCTGCTAGAGGTGCAGGTGTGAGACAGGCCAGGGAAGCAGAGAGGGGCATTATTTGGCTCTGGTTTAGCCCCTGGGAAGAATAAGACATTTGTGTTAGTGATATTAGCATGTATAGTTAAGAAAAAGGACTATACATAAACAACCAGCATTCTACTGAGAGAAGACATCATTGGTGACTTTTTTCTTCGCACATAGTTATATTTTCTAAAATCCGTGCAATGAATATATAGATATAGATATAGATATAGATTTCTTACAATGTTGGAGATCAAACCCAGGGCCTTGCACATGCTAGGCAAGTGCTCAACCACTAAGCTACGTTCTCAGGCCCCTCTCCTTTTTTAAAATTTTATTTTGAGACAAGAGTCTTGCTAAGTTGCTCAGACTGATCTCGAACTTGTGTTCCTCCTGACTCAGCCTTGCAAATACCTGGAATCATAGGTGTGTGCTGATTGTGTGATTTTTTACACTGCATTTCAGAACATACATCAGCTGTTCCCTTGATGCAGCCCTGGGCTGATCATAGCTGCTTGGGGATTTGCAGCCTCCAATTCTCCCTTAAAGATGTTCATGCTCAACAGCAGAAGACAGATCCCGTAGATTCTAAAACCCCATGTTCTTGCCTCTAAATAAAGAGCTTTATCTAAAAAGTCTTCTTTACTTTGTAAAGTGACTTACACGCATATTCCAAGTTTCTCTACCATTTCCTGCTAATTTGCACAGCTGCCAAACTGTTGACAAAATGGCAAATAGTGAAATTGTAGCAGCTTCCAACTCCTGACTGGATTTAAAATTCCCCCCTCCACAAAGCCCTCCTGCTTTTATTAGTGTCACGACAGAACCACCATCTGTAATTATAGACCCCTTTTGTGGACTTACATGCTTGATGCTTTGGCTGGCTTTTCCATTACTAGATATGCCAGCACATCTGCCTTCATGGTAATGAGGATGAACGGCTGTGGGTACTAGGATCTTGGGCCAATGAGCAGCCATTTTTGAATCATTCTCATTTGCATAGTAAGAGATTGTTTTTCTAAAAAACAACAAAAGTTAAAAGAAAAATAACTTGGAAAGAGGCAGGGGGATGTGCTTGGGAGTGTGGGTAACAGGATGGACAGATTTCTTGACAAGAAACAAAGAACAGACTTCTCACTGGGTGAATAGCAGGCATCACATCAGTCTATGTTTATAAGGCTCTTCCCTGGCCTTACAGGGACACCCGCTTCACCCTCATCCCAGTAGGAGACCCCTTTATCTGTCTCTCTTCCAGTTAATAAGGCTTATTCTCTGTACTTTTCCATCTTTCCAGAGCTCCAGGCCCTGGGACCCAAGAATCCAGCCTGAATGCTGGCTTTCTGTCTGCCTTTTCATGATTAAGACTTCTGGGACCTTAAACCTTCATTTCTGCTGTTTTCTGATATCTTTTACTTGACTGGGTATCTAGTTTCCACACAGCACCTGCCTTATACTTCCTAAGTTGGAAGAGACCTCACCTGCATTTCAAGGTTGCTGTGAGGTGTAGAATGACTACTGAGTACCAGGTTTAAAGAAATGCATCTTGTACCTGAAAATGCCCCAGGCAATGAGTTGGATTCCTACAGTTGGAGATGGGGGAAGAATTAGGGCTCCCATAGGCTTGGCATTTCAACAAGCTTGATTTTCAATTAGGAATTCCGTACTTAAATTTCTGTATGACCTTGAATAAGTTATTCAATCTCTCTGACCTCCAGTCTTTTCATCTCTAAGGCAAATTAGCAATAAGAAGTGAAAAAATTTGATTCTCTAGCACAGAGCCTTGTGTATCTTAGCAGATTAACCCTTGTCAATTGCTTTCATTAGTTCATTTATTTGATAAATTCTTACTGAGCACCTATTCCAACCTGGAGAAAGTGTATCGGGCAGAGTCAGGTTCTAGAAAGTAAAATGAGGGCAGTGCTCTGGGGTATGGGAAATGAAGAAAAAGTAGCTCTCTCCTCTCTGTACTTTCTCCATCCAATCCTCCTTTCCTTTTCTCCCATCTTTCTTCCTCGCTGTAAGTGACCCGTGGAAACCCAACAAGACACTCAAGTCATTAAAGCACCCCAGAACCCCAGGGAGGACCGGCTCCATCATTTGTAGGGTCCAGAAAGAAATGAAAACTTGGGCCTCTTTGTTCCAAAATATAAAATTTCAAGACAGTGATGGCTGAGCAGTAAGCCAGATATGGGCATGCAGCCAGCACTGCCCCCAGCTTTGTTCTTAGGGAACATTTACTAATGCTTTGCAGTTCTTGGTCCTAACTAAATGTCTCATAGCTCGGATTTGAGATTGAAACACAGTATAGCTTTCCATAATGTCACAGGAATTGGGGAACTGGGAAAAATTACCTACAAAGAAGTCTCAACACATTTCAAGGAATTAATAATTTACAAAGCATGATCTCTGACCACAGTGTGATTATACTTGGTTATCAACAATAAAAGGAAGTATATGTGTTATTAGGCTATGGATCTGCTGCCTAGAGCAGGATCTCCAGCTTGGATTCTTCCATTTTGGGGCAGCTCTGCCACTCTGTACTGTACTTCTAATTGTCTTATCAGTTGGAGTAAGAGCTTTAGATTGGGGCCTGAGGGGTTGGTCTGAGGTACTTCTTCAAACTGATCTCTCAATTAGGCTTCAAACCCACCTGAGAGGAGAGAGAGAGAGAGATGCTTCAGTTCCAACTGAAGTTATTTGAGAGACTTTGTTTAAATTATAATTATAAAATCATATTCCCCCATGTTGGAAATTAGATGTTAATGTAACAGACCTTCCAGGCTGGAGATGTTGCTCCATGCTCAGAAAGTCAGGTGTCATGTGTGCAGCATTTCAGCACTTGCTGTCCTATGTCAGGGCCTCACTATTGTAACTTAGACTGTGGCACCTACCTTCTTGATTAATGGTGAAATGCTTTAAGTTGATTCCCATTATTCATGAAGGGAGGGCTGCATTGGCTGACAGACAAGCCCATCTATTTCTTGCCCAGAGCCTATAGCTGCTCTCATGCCTTGGCTCTGGGTTTGGGGGTTTGGGTGAGGTGTGGGGAGGTCAGCGGATGATCTAGGTCAGCTAAAAGTGCATCCATTCCAGCTGGGTCAATCTAGATGAATGCTCTGGAAAAGTCTTCTGTTGGCTGGGGTGAATGTGAGATGCACATTTTCCAACATATGTCCTTTGATACCTGTCTAAAAGTAAGATATGTGATCACCTGGGTCTCACCACAGATTGTGGTTGCCACTGAGGACATACTTCTGGGTTCATTTATTCACTAAAAGATCCAGGCTGTGGCCAGATTATAAAGTTTCCTGCTTCATAGTAGGACAGTCTTGGGAATGCCAACAGCCCTTTTCCTGCAACTATCTTATCTTTTAGTTTATACCACCTACCCACGTTAGTGATGAGCCTGCTCCAGAGCTGGAAGGACAGCTTGGAAGGTTTCTCTATTAGTCTGTATATTTGTCACTTTCCCATCAATGGGACAAAATACTCAACACCCACAACTTAAAGGAGAGGCATTTTTTGGCTCATAGGTTTTGGAGGATTCAGTCTATTCAAATCATGATGGGGAAGCAGAACATGGCAGAGGGAATGTGCCAACCTCATGGCACCCAGGAAGCAGAGAGACAGAAAGGAGCAGCCCTGAACAAGAACACACCCTTCCAGGTCACTGTCCCAGGAACTCACCTCCAACCAGGCCTCACTTTCTGATAGCACTTTTAGCTACCCATCTCATTAGTGGACAAATCTACTGATGTATTTGGTGCCCTCATGATCCAGT